CCTCCGTCACATGCCATCTACCCTTAAAGGCGCCCTCAAATGGACTAAAAAAGAAGAAAAAGGTACGACTTGGCGAGCCAAATTGAAGAAAGCGACACTTGCGGCAACCGTCTACTTCATTTGGAACGCACGCAATAGATTGATTTTTGAAAGCGAAAGTCAACCTCCAAGCCTCGTGATTAGAAAGGTAAAAACACATGTTTAGCGCACTATCTTTGCTACCTACTCGAGTGTTCTTGCCGAATTCGAAAGGAGATGTCTTGGCCTTGAATTTTGAAAAATTTTGAGTTGGTTGTTGCAAAGTGTGTGAGCACTTGGATGATATTGAAGAGGGGAAATTAATTGTTTCCCTTCTTCGAGTGAGCACCCGGCTTGTGGTTGCCCTCGTTTATTTTTGTTCTTGCGAGTGAGGAGCCGACATGTGTCTACCCACTACGCTTTTGATAGCCGTCTCAGTTGTATGCCTTTCAGTTGTGATCAATACAAATTTATTTAACGATAAAAAAAAATAATAATGTTATAAAATGTTGGTGGTGTGTTATTCAACTGCACCTGTCAATTATAATGTTATAAAATGTTGTTGATGTGTTCAGCAAAATTTGTTTATGCATATTGGTGAAATTGTTTGTTCTAGACAAATTTGCCCATAATATCACGACTTTATTGAAATTGCAATTTAATCATGAACTTTTTGTTTTTGTAAATTATATCACAATATTTAGTTTGTTGCAATTTGGTGTACGGATTCTGAAAACGGTCATAGAAAAATTGATGTGGTCGAATAACAAAATGAAAATTGAGATATAGTTTGCACGAGACATTCAAATCGGTGCATCAATTTGCAACAAACTGAAGATTGTGATATTATTTCCAAAAACAAAAATGTCGTAATTAAATTGCAATTTCGAAAAAGAATCGTAATATTAAAGGCAATATTTCCTTTATTCTACAATAAAGTTTGTATTAATTGTAGTCTTTGATTTTGTTTGTCTCAATATTTTTTTATTATTATTATTTTTTTTTTCTCCAAACATGCATTTGGATCACTTCCCATCGTTTTTTCAGATAATTCATATCCTTGAATTATCATTTTCAATTCTTATGTCTGACATGTGTTCTTAACTATGTTAATGTGAAAAGAGAAATGGTTCCAACCCATCAACTGACAAGCAAAATTCTTTTGATTTGTGTAACTAAATGGAGGACTCAGAATCAGACACTCATTGCCCCATTTATCAAGAGGGGCAAATGCTCATTGTTTTATATGCTACTTTGTGGAGGAATAGAATATTGAGCTAGCAAATGTATGTATATATTTCAAAGTAGATGCGAATTAGTTAACCGTTAATTCTATATCAAAGAACTAACCTGTTGTATATAACAAATACTAAGAAAATCACCGGGCACAGCCAGAGCTTGCTAGTACGCTGTGTTGAGACTGGCCAGAAAAATACCATTCATTAAATCCTTAAGTTCTGATGTATAAAAAAAAAGAAATTAAATAAAAAAAAAAAACGAAAGTTTTTCATAGCATAAATACCCCAATAATAGATATTACACACAGAGAGAGTATAATCATTATGGAGAAGATGGACTCCTCTTGACTGCATCCAACCACTCCAAACTACTCTTATGTACCAAAATTCTGTAAGTACAAATAAAGGTAGGTAACCCGATTTCATCAATTTCATGCGTGACAAGGTTGTATATAAAAACTGAACTCATTTGAGCTTTATCCCTAGCTTTCATGGCCAACAACTCTGGGTACTTGACCCAGCCTACCGGGGTCAAAAAATTATTGGGAACACCACCTGGTATCTTGAATCTTTCCTTGTGAGCCTCCAAAGAAAAATGGGCCTTCTTTCTCCATTCTCCTGTTTCGGGTCGACTCATCTCCCAGACCTGCCACAAGCACACCTCGTATTGACGCAATAACGTCAGACATTTTCCTGTTGATAAGTAAATATTTCTATCACTCCCAATAGCAGGAGGCAGGAGAGGAGCGGGAGTCTCAGTAAAAGTTTCAGTCTCCAAATTAAGTGTCAAGACATGGTGAGTACGGGGATTCTGCCAATGCACGAAACCTTCAGTAACCAACGGAATATTGTGGAATGCCTTAAGTGCATCCGATGATATGAGTCCCAAATCAATGTCCCTCCATGTTTTATCAACTCCAGCAGTTAACATATGACAAATAGCACGATAGATTCCGTCAGGAGGATAAAATATAACCGCCTTATACTCCATGGAAGCCGGTGCGTACGCCAGTGCATATTTAAATTCTGAAACTCTACCAACACATGGAGGGAGAATAACAATTTGCCCTGTTAAGGGATTTATGACGTACGGATAATCTTGACTTGGCAGATTATTCTCTAACCACAATCCATTACAACTACTAAGGACCACACACCTACGCTTGTACCTCAACTGGGTCACCTCGACCCCTCCTCCCACTCCCCTTTGAGGGAGGATTAAAACTGACTCCCAACACACGGATTTGAAAAGGAGACCATAAGTTGAGTGGTGTAAGCTGGAGGAAATGAAATTACGGGTGTGGATGATATGGTACCATTTGCGGCAAACAAGCCTTGCCTCGTAAACATCTTGGACTGGGATGCGCACAAGGACTTCAAACAACAGCTCATCAGGTAGAGATTCTATGTCTGTTGTTACCCTCTTTCTTTTACACCTCCTCGGGTAGAAAGTGCGGATTGCCTGCAAATTAATTATTCTTCCCATGTTTCATCAACAGAGAAAAAACACAAAAATAAAAAAAGTCCAAACTTTTAACCTAAACAATAATGAATCGAAATACTAATACTTGTGAGTTTACAGATTAATAGAATAGAAATTCTCTCTCTCTCTCTCTCTCTCTCTCTCTCTCTCTCTCTCTATATATATATATATATATGTAACCTAACCTAACCTAACCTGGTCAACTCTGGGTGGAACCAGTAATTTGAAGGGTGCAACCTCCTCCTCCGTATTCCATTCTTCTTTACCTGGCCGTCGAGGAGGCGGTGGCTGGCGCACTTCTGATGGTGGGATATCAAACTTGGGTAGAGATCTCCTCGTCAGCATAATAGTTCAACCAACTCCCTACAAAAATATATAATCTAACAAATAAATAATCAGTTTAGTTGGGGGATTGTCGATACTCGATCAATCAATGATTTCCGGATGCATATATAAATAAATAAATTAGCATTCCCTTCCCTTCCGAGGAAAAGGAAGACCAAGTATCAAAGGATCTGTCGCATCTATAATAGTCTTCTATTAACAAACGGAATATATGTTTGTCGAGGGCTGCTGGGTTGTATTTAGGGATGAGAATGAGATTATTAGGGGAAATGGAGGCGGAAATGTTCATGCCACCCACTCCTAGGGTTACTATGGTGGGATTTTGTCCGCATAGCCTCCCCTACAAAAGTTTTTGTTTAAATGACCCTCTAAGTCAACAGCCCTTTTTAAACCTTTTAAAATGTAATAAGAAATGGTATTAAAAATCAAGTTACTATTATATCCCCTTCTTAAAAAGTTGTGTTTGTTCCCTTTCTTCTTCTAACTTCTTCAATTTTATCGCTTCTCTCCTCTCTCGGCTCCGCCTCCCTCCCTCTGGCTCTCTTCTCTCTCGCTCTCTCGGCTCTCTCTCTCACACTCTCTTGGCTCTCTCGTCTCTCTCTCTCTCACCTATGTATCATGGAACTATCTATTGTGAATGCTGGTAAGGAATCAATTTTCTTTTCTTCAGTTTTTTTTTTTTTTTTTTTTTTTTTTTTGTTAAGGGTATAATGATGTTGAACCCTTTATATTTAGAATTATTCCAAGCATGCTATATTTATTAAGGTAGAAGAAGAAAAATGAGTTTGTGTGTTATGTGTTAATTGTAGAAGAAGGATGATGTTAAAGAAGAATAATTTTTTTTGCAATTTTGTTATTTTGTACTCTATTGTGTTTAAAGAGATGAAAGTTGGGTTAATTGTTTAATATATGTTATGCATAAAATTGAAGTTGATTATTGAAATGATTGTAGGAGTGAGTTTGTGAATTTGTGCACATGAAGTGTTTGATGAAATGCTTGTAAGGTGAACTCAATGTGTTTGATGAAATGATTGTATGATTGAGTTGATTAACTGAAAATAACGAGACTTATATGTAATTTCTTTAATAGCCTAACATTGAAACCCGATCGATAAACCGTGCTTTTGAGCCCTTCTAGCCATAGATGCCTTCGTCTTTCATTTTCGAGTGAGTAGCATGTTCCTTTCTCTTTACACAGTGAATTCCTTTCATGCCCAGACAGAGAGTCTTACCTAGAGTTTTGTTTGTTCATTTGCTAGATATGCCTTTTCATTGAGCTAAAGAATGGATTGACTTACTTTCTTTGGTTTGATATAATACTTTGGCAGTTCTTCTATTCTATTTTTATTTTTTAGAAATATAATTTATAACAATTGTGTATTAATTTTCAGTTTCAACAATGTGTTATAATTTTCAGTTTCAACAATGTGTTATTATTATATATGCATAAGACCAATGAAAATAGCATTGGCCTTCCGAAATTCTCGTGTCAACCGGCTGAAAATATGCATAAGACCGTTGCTTGTTGTATTTCATTTGGTAATAGTATTGACATGTTGTGTATAATGTGTTTAATAGATATGTTGTCTTTCTTCTTTTTTAGGAACCCAAAAGGAATATGCGTTTGATATTCCTTGGAAACTGAAAGCAGTCGTGACGAATCGGTGCAACATGAAAGTTGTCGGTGACGTATTTCACAACCTAGACGATCCACATAAAGATCTATTTGTAGAGTCTTGCTTCCGATCACTTGTAAATATTCCCCAGCTCAAATTGTCGTCGCAAATAGTTCATCAGGTAGTTCTTAGGACATTGAAAGCGTTCGAAGATGAGAAAGATGTCGTGTGGTTTAGATTTGGAGAGAAGGAGTGTAGATTCGGGTTACAAGAGTTTTCTCTTGTAACCGGGTTGAAGATTGTGGCTTTGGATGAGAATTCCTACGACGTCCCCAAAACGAATAGTTCGCTTTTGCAACTTTTCAAGGATAAGCGGGGGACTATAAAACGCAATGACTTGCTCGTTCAATTTCATGAGCTTATAGAGGATGAAGAGCAGGAGTTTAAGTTCAAATTGGGGCTTGTGATTGTCTTGGAGCATGTTCTTTTGTCTGCAGAGGTCGAGACTCTTGTAGACGAAAGATGGTTTCATTTGGTCGAAGATTTAGAAAAATTCAATAATTTTCCTTGGGGCAACTTGTCGTACAAGCAGACTGTAAAAGTGTTCAAGCGGACCTCTTTGGGGAACGGACCAAAATCAAAGTCCGTAGCGTATACTTTGCATGGATTTCCCATAGCAATAATGGTACTTTTCATGTACACATATATTTATGTTTTTTTTATTATTTATTTTTGTTACTTGTATTCATAATTATGCTCTCTTGTTTGCTAAGCAGATTTGGGCATTTGAGGCGCTACCTAATTTCGGAAGAGAATTTTGCTGAAAAAATTGTTGGTAATGTATATCCGAAAATGTATTGCTGGAAATTTGATAAACAGTTGCGAGCCGAGACGCTTCAGTCTTTTTTTGAGAGGGTGGAAGTAAGTTTTGTTATAGATTATTCTTCTTATTTATTGTTATACTCTTAAAATTCTAATTGAAATTCTATTAAAATCAGGTTGAAGTTCGACGGACGTTGGAACCCTCTTCCTCTGAAGTGGACACATCATTTTTTAATGAAATGGGTATAACTTCCTGGACAGAAGTTAGTGTCTGTCAACTTGAGGAAGAAGAAGGCAGTGC